AAAAAAAAAAAAAAAAAAAAAGAAGTATTTGTGCCAAGACAAGCCTTAGGTAACATTCTGCACCTGCTTTCAGACTGGGCTACATCAGTGAAATAGTCCGGGAATCCCTTAGGGTCTCTGAGCCATTTCAGGGAGTCTGCAAGGTCAAAACCACTTTCATAAAAATACCAAGACATTATTTGCCTCTCACTCTTAGTCTCTCAGAAGCATACAACAAAGTTTTTCAGAGGCTTATATCAGATGATATAAGATACTGCAACAAGGTTGAATGCTGGAGTAGATATGAGACTCCAACTGATCTCTATTAAGCCAGCTATAAAAATTTCGTTAACACAAACTAAAGTGTATGTTTTGGTAAGTAATTAGAGTATAAAAATCCCTTTTCTTATGTCTATTTGTGCTCTAACTTTTAAGTATTCTTCCATTTAAAAAAAATATATCAAATACTTGTCAGGAGGAATAAATTGTACAGAAAATTCTATGTAAAGTTTCCTAAACATACTCAGTTAAAATGGGATTTTCAAAGAATAAAAAACATTAAGGAAAAATTCCCATACACACTCACCCAAGTTTTAATATAAAAATGAATTGAACAATGTGAACTGCTTTTAGGAGATCATATGATTCAAATAGTCCCACAGCTTTCAAAAATTTAGTGAAACATAGTAACACAATATATTTTGTTAACCTGAAAAATAAGAACAGAAACAAATTTTAGTATCAATGAAATCACAAGGAACTCATTAATCTGTTTTATTTTACAATAGAGGTCATTATAGAAACCACAGAAAGATACATAAACAAAAAAAGAGAACGATAAAAAAAATCCCCAAACAATTTACCATTCACATCATTAACTACTGTTAACATTTTGGCATATATACTTCTGGTTTATTTTCAATGTATATGAATGATTGTGTATAGATGCAGTTTCCTTTTTGTTAAAGCACCAAACCAAAAATAAAACGTTCTTGGTTGAGTTGGGCTAATTTTGTAATCTACCTTTTAACTTAATTAACTCCTTCAAACAAATAAGAACAAAACAGAAACTAAATTCTATCTGTGATGAAACTAGGGGACCACAATATAGGAGGAAACAGAGGAATGGTAACTGCCTTTGGTTTGCCCCTCCCTCTGCCTTGCAAAGTGACTGTAGTGAGGGTTATGATTGAAAAGTCAAGTAACCAGACCTATACAATCCTGAAAAGGCTGAGGAGTTGGAAGCACCTTGGAAGGAGAGTGAGAAGCTGAAAAGAGGCCTTAGGAAGTCTTTCTAGTAATAGGATACCCCAATTCCTGCCCAGAAGAGTCAAGCAACTATCCCTCCTCAACTAGTACAGGAGTCACGAGGCTTAGCCTCTGGCAAGGTCTAGACAGAAGGTAAAGAAGAAAGGAAGGATGAGGTTCTGGGCTTTTTAAAAATGTGGAGATGAAAAAGATGTTTCCCTTCTTAATCCTGCCTCCCCTTCTCTCATTTAACTCCAATATCCCAACAACCAGGCCTCAACCTCCCAGCAGAACCCTTCTGGGAGACCTACCACATATCTAGCAATTGTCTAGGTATGAAAGTAAATGTCTATGTACTAGAAAAAAATAGAACACTAACATTTAAGAGGTAAAAAAACACTTTATAGACATTCTTTAGCCTAATTCTTCTCATGTTGTACATTGGGAAGTTGAAGCCCAGAGAGCTAGGTAGAATCAAGCCCATGTTTCTTAAGAGTGTCCTTTCTAATACAGCACATAGAAAATCAAAGTTCACCTAAAAGGCTTTTAAGGGTTCCCTTCTTTTCAAATGTTCCCAATTATATATTCACAATGGCCCACGGTAAAATAATGTCTAAATATGAAAGACAAAATACATATCAAAACCTAAGATTAATTTGGACTTTGGCCTGTTTAAGCTAGAGAAAAGAGTCCTAAAGACTTAAGTATAGCCTAGTGTGGTGGCATGCCCTATAGTCCAGCTACTAGGGAGGCTGAGGTGGGAGGATCACTTGAGCCTAGGAGTTATACTCCTTAAACTCTTAACTAGGTGTAAAAATAAGGCAGCAGGAAAGAAGCAAGAATACAAAGAACCACACTGTAAACAAACAGATAGGGAGGGGAGAAAACAAAGACCAAGATAAATAGAGTTACATTAAAATCACAGCAGTCCAGAAATTCTTGATGTCAGCAAAGAATCTTGCACATCTCCTGTAGGGCTATTTAGCCACTTTTCAAATATTCTTCGCTCACTTGCCAAACATGGCCAATGAGACCTAAAGATGTCTGACAGGGTGGCTTCAGGTACAGCCTTCCCTCTTCCTGATAAAAGGGCAAGATGCACCTGGAATTACTTCTGCCACCATTTTCCTGCCTTAAAGGGAGGACTTTTATCTAAAATTTATCTAAGAAAATTTTTATCTAAAGCTGCCACATCTATTTTATAATAAATCTGAATATGAAAGCCAATACACTAATGATGACAGAGAGGAAAGACATAAAGAATTCAGGTCCCACATGTTATCACTGAAGGTTCTGAGCGGTTTCTTTTATGTCAGAAGGATAAATCCCCATTTGTTTAAACCTGTTAGTTTCGTTACTTACAACTAAATAAACTTCTAGGTGATATCTAAGACACAGTGTATGGGAAACCCTGTCCTTATGGAGCTCTCAGTCTACTGGGACAGACAGGCAAGTAAACAAATATTTCTGTGACCTAGGTAAGTTAACAGAGTTCTAAAATAACAGATGTGGAAGCAACTAATTTTAGAGAAGCGAAAGACATCTTCACAGAGTTCGAGATGTATATGAAGATAGCAAGGAGAGGTAAAGGGTACTTCAAAGTATGGGGAGCAGCATATGCAAAACACTAGTAGTAGGAAGGAGCCTTTGAAGACATTACTATATTTAAGCTTAGTTCACCGGATGATGCTCATAATGACCAGAAGTCATCAATGAAAAGATAAATTATATTTATTATGCTTATTTTAAGAAGGCAATCACAGCAACAACAAAAATAAAGAAATGGGACTTGATCAAATTAAAAAGCTTCTGCACAGCCAAGAAAACTATCATGAGAGCAAACAGACAACCTACAGAATGGGAGAAAATATTCGCATGCTGCAAATGTCATAAAGGGCTGATAACTAGAATCTATATAGAACTCAGGAAAAGCAGCAAGAAAAAAATCAAACAACCCTATCAAAAAGTGGGCAAAGGACACGAACAGAAACTTTTCAAAAGAAGACAGACTAATGTCCAAACAAACATGAAAAAATGCTCAACATCTCTAATCATCAGGGAAATGCATATCAAAACCATAATGAGATATCGCTTAACTCCAGTGAGAATGGCTTTTATCCCGAAAAAGTCCCAAAATGAAAAATGTTGGCGTGAACGTGGAGAGATAGGAAGACTCATATACTATTGGTGGGAACTACAAACTAGTGCAACCTGTGTGGAAAGCAATATGGAGATACCTCAAAGAGCTAAAAGTAGACCTACCATTTGATCCAGCAATCCCATTACTGGGCATCTGCCCAAAGGAAAAGACATCTGCACTAGAATGTTTATAACAGCACAATTCAAAATTGCAAAGATGTGGAAACAACCCAAGCGCCCATCAATACATGAGTGGGTTAATAAAATGTGGTATATGTTTATCATTGAGTTCTACTCAGCCACAAAAAACAATGGTGATCTAGCACCTCTTGTATTATCCTGGATAGAGCTGGAGCCCATTCTACTAAGTATCCCAAGAATGGAAAAACAAGCACCACAGGCACTCATCATCAAATTGGTATTAACTGATCAATACTTATGTGCACTTTTAGTAGTAACATTCACTGGGTGTCAGGTGGGTGGAAGGGAGTAGAAGGGGATGGGTACATTCACACCTAATGGGTGTACTGTGCCTTCTGGGGGATGAATACACTTGAAGCTCTGACTTGGGTGGGGCAAAGGCAATATATGTAACCTAAACATTTGTACCCCCATAATATACTGAAATAAAAAAAATCTGTATTTTGAAAAAAAAAAAGGCAGGGTAATATACAGATTTTTAAATAACCTCTGTCTGAAGTATTAACAAAACTAAAAATTTGGCATTTAAATGGCAAGATTTAGTCATATATGCAAAATACTTTTTTTTTGAGACAGAGTCTCACTGTGTTGCCCTGGCTAGAGTGAGTGCCATGGCGTCAGCCTAGCTCACAGCAACCTCAAACTCCTGGGCTCA